TTAGGATGTATATTGATGTAGGAGGGGCGAGTTATTGCATATGTTTTGCATCAACTGAAGATCCATGAGAAGAATTATCCTGTGCACGATTTGGAGTTGGCCGCGATTGTTCATGCTCTTAAGATATGGAGGCATTATCTGTATGGGGTGTCATGTGAGGTTTATACTGATCATCGCAGCTTACAACATTTGTTCAAGTAGAGGGATCTCAATTTGAGGCAGCGTAGATGGCTTGATTACTGAAGGATTATGATATCACCATTCTTTATCATCCAGGCAAGGCAAATGTGGTCGCGGATGCCTTAAGCAGGAAAGCAGAGAGTATGGGTAGCTTGGCATTCATTCCAGTAGAGGAGAGGCCACTAGCTTTGGACATTTGGTCCTTGGCTAATAGACTTGTGAGGTTGTATATTTCAGAGCCCAGCCGAGTTCTTGCATGCGTTGTTGCTCAGTCTTCATTATTAGGGCAGATCAAGGCCCGACAATTCGATGATCCACACTTGGCGGTTCTCAGAGAGACAGTGCTTCAGGGTAGTGCCAAGGAGGTTTCTATTGGAGAGGATGGTGTTTTGCGACTCTAGGGTCGCCTATGTGTTCCTAATGTTGATGGTCTGAGGGAGAGGATACTAGAGGAGGCACACAATACGCGATATTCCATTCATCCAGGTGCGACGAAGATGTATCGTGACTTGAGACAACATTATTGGTGGCGGAGAATGAATAAGGACATAGTGGAGTATGTGGCTAAGTGTTTGAATTGCCAGCAAGTTAAGTATGAGCACCAGAGGCTGGGTGGCCTACTTCAGCAGATGACTATACCAGAGTGGAAGTGGGAGCACATTACTATGGACTTCGTAGTTGGGTTGCCCCGGACTTTGCGGAAGTTTGATGCAGTATGGGTCATTGTTGACAGGTTGACCGAGTCGGCACACTTTATTCCAGTTGTGACTACTTACACTTCAGAGAGATTGGCTTAGATTTACATTTGGGAGATAGTCAAGTTGCACTGTGTGCCTATTTCCATCGTATCAGATAGAGACCCTCAGTTCACTTCCCATTTCTAGAGAGCCGTTCAGAGTGATTTGGGGACCCATGTAGAGCTTAGCAAAACATTCCATCCTCAGATCGACGGGTAGTCGGAGTGGACAGTTCAGATTTTAGAGGACATGCTTAGAGCATGTGTGATTGACTTTGGAGGACAGTGGGATCATATCTTGTCCTTGGAAGACTTTTCTTACAACAACAACTATCAGTCCAACATTGAGATGGCTCCATTTGAGGCTTTATACGGTCGACAGTGTCGTTCTCCTATCGGGTGGTTTGAGCCTGGTGAGGTTAAGTTATACGATACAGACTTGGTGCAAGATGCCTTGGACAAGGTAAAGTTGATTTAGGAGAGGCTTCGCACATCTCAGTCCAGACAGAAGAGTTACACGGATCAGATGGCGCGTGATATATCATTCATGGTTGGCGAGAAGGTCCTCTTGAAAGTCTCGCCAATGAAGGGTGTTATGAGGTTCGGGAAGAAGGGCAAGCTGAACCCAAGGTTTATTGGCTCATTCGAGGTGTTGATGCGAGTTGGGGTGGTTGCTTACAAGCTTGCCTTACCCCCCAGTTTATCGGGAGTTTACCCAATTTTTCACGTGTCTATGCTTCGGAGGTATCATGCTGACTTGTCCCATGTGTTAGACTTCAATACTATTTAGCTGGATGAGAGTCTGAGTTATGATTGATAGACAGGATTGCCAGTTAAGATCCAAGAGGATTTCAGCGGTGAAGGTCCAGTGGAGGGCCAACCAGTCGAGGAGGCGGCCTGGGAGTCCAAGGAGGACGTGCAGAGTAGATATCCACATTTATTCAGCACCTCAAGTACTTTTCTATGTCCATTCGAGGACGAACGTTTGTTTAAGAGGTGGAGAATGTAACAACTCGATTCGCCATTTTGCTTTTTAGAACCCCGTACCCCTAAATAAAACTTCCCGCGCTTGCTTTAACTAATTTATGACCTGAGGGGATGATTGGTTCGGGATTTGGAAGAGATTGGGTTGAAATAGGCTAATTTAATTCCTTAAGATTTTCTTAAAAGGCTAAGTTTGACTTTGGTCAACATTTTTAGCAAACGGTCCCGGATTTGTGTTTTGACGGTCCCGGAGGGTCCATAGGAAAATATGAGGCCTGGGCGTATGCTCGGAATCGAATTCCGAGTTCCCTATCCCGAGCAATAAATTTTTATTAGAAATTGTTGAACTGAAATTCTAAGGATCTAAAGAAACTAAATAATGATTGATCACATTGGTATAGGGCTCGTATGTTGGTTCCAGAGCCCAGTACAGGTCCATTATAACATTTAAGACTTGCCCGCAAAATTTGGTGTCAATCCGAGTAGTATAAGTACGTTCCGACATGTTAGAAGTGAATTAAAGAACTTGAAGTTCATAAGTTTGATCCAATTGGTTTTAGGGGTGATTCTTAGATTTAGCGTTGTTTCGGGCATTTCGAAGGTTCGAGCGGGTTCATTTATGATTTCAAACTTGTTGGTATGTTCGGGAGGGGCCGGGAGCCACGAGCGTCAATCGGACGAGGCTCAAGTGAAGTTGAAAATTTTGAGAAGAGCTGAAGCTTCAGGTTGCTGACATAACCGCACCTGCGGTTAGTCAGCCGTAGGTGCGAGACCGCAGAAGCGGTCGTCCTCTCGCAGATGTGGCTAAGGCAGGCCAGGCCAAAACCGCAGAAGTGGCTGCGCAGAAGCGACTTCAAGACCGCAGGAACGGTCCCAAGTCGCTTGGCCAATTCCGCAGATGTGGCCTTCCTCTCGTAGAAACGGGACCGCAGATGCAGAAATCGCTGAAGCAGTGAGCTTCATTTGTTGCGGGCTCTAAGTCATTTTGGCCATTGTTGACTCACCCATTGGGCGATTTTGGAGCTCTTGAGAGAGGACCTTAACCTAGCATCTTGAGGTAAGTTTATCCTACTTATTTCTAGTTTAATACTTGAGTCTTGGGTAGATTGATACACAAAGATTAAGGTAAAATCATGGGGTTAGAGCAAAACCAAGGGTTTTGATAAAAGCTATATTTGATCATGAAATTTGTTATGAAATGAATTAGAAATCATATATTATTGATCCTTGGGCTATAAGAACAACTTTCTTCAAAAAATTTCGGAATCCGGGCACGTGAGCCGGGGGGGGGGGATTTAGTAAACTTGTGTTTAAGGTTGGGGAATTGCTTAAATAGTTAGAATGCGATCTTGTGAGCTTGTATTGACTAGTTCCTACCTCATTTATCTAGTTTTGGATCATTCAGCTCCAAATTTAGAGTTTGAGCTCGTTCTTGGTATTGGAAGTACGCTTTGGAGCGAGGTGAGTCTCCTATCTAACCTTGTGAGAGGGAATAGTCCCCATAGGTTATATCATCAAATAATTTGCATTAAATGCGGGGCTATGTACGCACTAGGTGACGAGAGTCCGTGCGTAGTTACTACTATTCTAAGTCCGAGTAGTCTAGGACCCAAAAGCATGCTTTATGTGATATTCTTGCAACTTTATGTTTAATTTGGATTGTTTAAATCATGGTGATTATGGTAAATGAGACTAGTAAGAGGAACATTATCTTTCTTGGTTTTTTAAAGAGAAGTTGCTATTTTTGTGAGTAATTGCTCCCCAGTTATATATTCTTGACTGCTTGTTGTTGTGTTTAATTACATTTGATCGTGTCACATGTTTGATTCGCGAGCGGGGTAATAGATGCATATATGAGTCGTGTCGTTCGACCCTCGGCAGTGCACAATTTACTTTTATGTTGGATCGGGCCGTATGACCTCGGCACTACTTGCGCATTCTTTACTCAGTATTTTTCTATGAATTGAGCTTTATTATTTGCCCTGAAATGTAAGTGGACAACTATGATATTATCTAGGAGATGACCTGTTATTTTTCGCTATAAACTATTAATTATTTGTTCTATCCGTGTTCAGTATAATTCATTTCTCATATTATTTGACCCTAGTAAGTGTCAAGTCGACCTCTCGTCTCTATGATTAGACAGGATACTTAATGGATACATATTATTTATGTACTCATACTAAACATATGTACTTAATTGTACAGGATCTGAGGTAGGTACATCTGGTTACCAGTCTGGTGCGCGTTCTTGATCAGTGTCCAAGACTTCCACGGTGAGCTGCTCCCTTCCTATGCTGTTCAGCAGCATGATGAAGTCTCTCTTTATTTTGGCTGTCTATTCTATTTCAGACAGTAGGATAGATTTATTCTTTTGTATATTCTACTAGTTGTCCGTAAACTTGTGACACCAGGTCTTGGCACACACATTAGTAGACTATTCTTTTGGGGATTGTATAACTATTTTTGTACATTACTAATTATCACGTGCTTTTAACTGCAAATTTAGAAATTTCTGTACTTGTTTTAGTAAAGTGAAAATGAGAACTTGTTAGCACTTCCGCGTTGGCTTGCCTGACAAGGGTGTTGGGCGCCCTCATGACCTATAATGGAATTGGGTCGTGATAGTGGATGTAGACATGTAATTTTTGACCCTCTCCAAAATTTTACTCATTTTAGTATTTAGATATTTATTTTAAGTCTAGTATTGCTATTTTGATTATATTTTACTTTTTTGCTTTAGTTTATCTTTAAAATATAAATTACAAAAATAAATTTTCCTTTATGCTAGCTATTTGTTATTTTGACTAGTAAATTTTAGTTTTTCTTACTTTTCATAAAATTGAAAAAAAAGAGTCATATTTTTGGTTTGATAAATATGAAAAAGAAATGTTAAATTTCTAACAGTAGATTGAAAGATTTTATACTACCTTAAGAATATAGCTATTTTGTTTTCCTTAATATTCCTATTTTCATTTAGGAGTAGTGTTTTTATGTACTTACTTTTGATTTAGCTAAAGGAAAATCAGAAAAAAAATCAAAAAGACAAAAGAAAAANATATATATATTTGTCTTGAATAATAAAGAGATAACATTTTGAAAACCCTAGTATAAAATGCTCTCACCCTCATTCTTGGGAAGCCACCCACACAACTCTAAAAGTAAAACCTTTCAGCACATAACAAGAACCCTAAGAGAGAACCCTTCTTCTTCACCCCCTCCCACAAAAAACCAGCCGCAACGCATACGGACATAAGGAAAAGAAAGGGGGAATCGAGGGGAAGGACAATACCATGATGAAATTTCAATCAAGCCAACAATAGAAAGACCAATTTTACCATTTGCACTCATTTCCTGATTTTTGATATAACACATAATCTAGCTTGATTTGGGAAAGCAGTCCATTCTTTCTAGTTCGAAAATACAAAAAGAATTCTATTTCTTCTTTTTCAATTCTTGGATTGTGGGATTTCAAAGCGTGGAGCCCGATTGATCTGGGGTGCCGATTCGATGTTTATTCGCGGTCCAGTTCATTTTTGAGTCTTAGAGTTGTCGAATAGTCACGTTCAAACTCGTGATTTGAGGTCAGATTCTTACGTTTGCCTTTTCCTAACATTCTGTGTATCAACTTTTGAGAAAATGTAGTCATTTGCTTGACATTAGCAGTGTATTCATTTGGTTGGCACTCCTATTGCTTTCATATTCCCTTTTTTTTATTATATTTAAAGATTATTGTTAGATTATTAGCTTATCCTTCATTAAACTTGATTAAGAAGAAAAAAAGATTGATAGTTTACTAATATCTTCAAATTAGTGATTTGTTGGAATATTATTGTTTAATTGATAAATGGGTTGTGGGGTTTATTTAATTTAAAGAAAAAAAGAAAAAAAATGAATAGTTGAACTTTTTAAAGCAAATTGTCATGGCAGACAACTTAAAGGTATGACAATCGGGGCTTTGGACCATTTCTGTTAGTTTTTTCTTAATTTGCGTTATACTCGTTTAACCGCTAATAGCTTGTCTAGGCCGACCACATTCGGGTAGGCAAACCTTAGGTCTTTTCATTTATTTTGTTCGAGGCGAAAGGTCGTTCCCTATAGTTCATATTCAGGGGAATGACCCGTAGACCTTGTATGTATTTTTATCCGGGGTATGCCCCGTAGTATCATGTATCTAGAGGCCATGACAAAGATGTGAAATAATATAGTATATACTAGTATTTAGGATTTTATTTTATTTTTCTTTTTCTATTTTCTTTTATTCAGAGGGGACGACCTCGAGCCTCTAGTGTGTTTCTTTTTCTTTTTCTGTGTTGTTAGCTCAATTTTAATATCTTAAAAGCCAACTAGATAGAGTACGCAACCGTGGTTTTCACGAGATTTGGGGAGTACCTAACACCTTCTCCCCGAGTCAAATGAATTCCCTTACCTGAATCTCTGGTGCAGACTTAGTTTTGGAGTCCAAAGTGTTTTAAAGGAAAAATTATTTTTTTTAAAAATGGTGACCTGGCACGGTAACCGAAACCAATGTCAGGTGGCGACTCTGAGTTTTTTTTCTTTTGAACACAATTTTGTCACTTTTTAATTAAAACCCCTTTTGAGCTTCAAAAATCTCTTTTATTAATTTAAGAGAGTTAGTGGAGTTTGTTAAAAAAGGGGTGTGACATCTCTGGCGACTCTGCTGAGGAATTACAGGTTCGAGCTGATACTTGATTTTGTTGGATTTTTAGAATATTCGGTTGAGGTTTTTATGTTTCTTTATTTGCTTTATTTGATTTATTTTTGTTTATGTCACTTTATTTGCTAGTTGTTTTATGTGTTTACAGTTTTTCCTTTATGTGTTACTACTTTATAATTGTCATCGTATGCATTACCCGGTCAATTTTTNAAAGCTTGAGCAGCCACCATCGACCATACGCTCCCCCGAATTGCCTTGTTAGTGAACTCCAAACATAGGTCAGCCTTTAGGTCATTCTTATTTGCATCATGTCATTTAAACCTAGCAGGGCTCGGTCCCAGGCACCGTGTCCCGTTGTAGGAGGCCTATCCAAATTATGTCAAAATGGGCTCGTGGCCCAAAATGACATTTAATCATCCTATGTGCTAAATGTTGCATTTACAAGGGTAGATAGGTCATTTGGCGGACCGATGTTTTGGAAAGAAGGGTGAAAAATGAAGCAATTAGGGCCCAATTATATTTTTCTTTTACAACTTTTTCAAGAAAAAACAAAAAAAAAAATTGAAAATGAAAAATCCTAAAAGATTTTTCACTTTTCCATCATTTTCCAAAAAAGAGAAAAAAAAAATACAAAAAGATTTTACATTTTCCATCATTTTTCAAAAAGACAAAAAATATAGTTTTTCCAAATTAGTTGCATTTTTTTAAAAAGCTTTCTCCCACGTTCAATCTTCCCGAACTACGCGAACCTGATTCTCGTCTTTCGGGGCGGGATACGTAGGCAACCCACATAGAGTTCGATCTTCCTAGTAAGTCTTAGGTTCTTGGCTTTGCGGGGTCTTAGCCAAATCTTGCATGTCTAGCCACTTTTGGCCACATCGGCCATTCTTGCAAAATGGAGTTATTTTCGTAAAAGTGGTTCAATTACCCACGTCTTAGAATCTTGAGTTCGCAACTAGGTGTCATATTACTTTAAGGTCCGTCCTTTTTGAGTTTGCATCTTTAGCCACTTCTGGCCATATCAGCCGTTTTTGCGAAATGGGTCATTTCTGCGAATTAATTTTTGGGCCATGATTATTGGGAGTTGAATCCATATAAGTATTAGTAAGGTATTTTCATATCTGAGTAGTCACCCTTGGTGATTTTTCACTTAGAGCCACTCTTGACCACGTACGTTAATTTTCAAAAAATAGCCCAATAGTGTCTTGCATGTATCCAACAGGAGGTGTTGTGGTGTCGCATAGTGTCTTGAGTCACTTATCTATTTGGTCTTATTTTTCTCATTCAGGTATGGATCCATAAACCAGGACTCGAGCATGATAGATACTCCAGGACCACGGAGCTTCTTGAGGAGCCTTTTTATGTTTTTGAGTCTATTGTTCATATTTTACTTTCTAGTCATGTACAGTAGGATTCAATCATTTAGTTGGTGTCAGATTTGTCGTAGTGTAGTTTAGTTTGCCGAGTCTCTCATTATCATACCTCATATTTGTATTTGAAAAGCCAAAAAAAGTTATAAATGAAAAATCCAAAAAGATTTTTGTTTCTTTACTTTTCCAGAACTACGTTTGATCTGATTCATGAGGGACATGATACGTAGGCAACCTACATAGGTTTCGATCGAATCATCATTAAAAAAAGCAAAAAAAAAGAGACGAAAAAAAGAAAAGAAAAAAGAGGGAATGAAGTTGTGGGAAATGAAAAATGAGAGAAAATAAAAGAGCGATAATCAGAAAGAAAAGAGGGGAAAGAAATGAATAACCAAGAAGTGTTAGAAAGGAAGATGAAGAAGGAAATGGGGCAAGAAGAGTGAAATTGGGATGATGCCATATGACTTTCGTACCCTCGAAGCCATTCTAGTACTGTTAACTGTGATTAGGGGGCATTGCACACAATGTGATATTTCTATCTGAGAAATGCTCTAACGATAACATGTTGGCTTTGTTTTGCTCCCTTTGTTACTTTCATTATTATCATAACAGAGGGTGGTTAGTTTGTGGCACTTTGGCGAGTCATCTGTACAATACAAGGTCAAAAGAGCATTGTAGACATGGCTAGTAAAGACTTGGACACTAGAGTTGTAGACCCACCAAAGGAGATTGTAGAATCAGAATCGGAACTGAAAGAGGAGGTTAGAAGGTTGAAACGTCAGGTGGCGGAAATGTATCAGGTCTGGATTAGGGGACACCCTCCACCCTCATTCCCTACTAAATATACAGAAAACCCTGCTTCCAATCCACCATTCTCTCAATCCCAGATGCCCAATACCATTGATCTTTCCCCACAACACGCACAAAGCTTCACCCCTTACCATAATTACCTTGGCACTTCCTCCCAAACTTTTCATGCTCCACCAGCCAAAATAACCGTATTCTTAGTTCCAGATACCCAATACTATGTCCCGAAACCCACCTTCAAAGTCTCAGATCCTTACTCCTACATTCCCCACCTTGAGACTCATGTAGAAACCGAGAAACCATCCAAGAACGCAGAGCAGGAGGAGATATTTAAGAAGGTAAAGAGTTTGGAGAAATCATTGAGAAATATGCAGGGGTTAGGAAGCCAGGTAAGTGTGGCTTATAAGGATTTGTGTTTGTTCCCTGATGTCCAACTACCTGCTGGGTTCAAGATGCTCAAGTTTGACTTGTATGATGGACATGGGGATCCTGTAGCTCATCTGAGAGTTTATTGCGGTAAAATGAAAGGCGCCAGGGGAAAAGACGAATTATTGATGGCGTACTTCAGCTAGAGTCTGAGTGGGGAAGCTTTAGAATGGTACACCCGCTAGGACACCAGCAAGTGATACACATGGGACGATTTGGCTCAGGACTTTGCTCGGCATTTTCAGTACAACATAGACATTGTCCCAGATTGCCTGTTCCTAACCAAGGTAGAAAAGAAGCCCAATGAAAGCTTTAGAGAATATGGTTCCGATGGAGGGAGCAAGCTGCACGGGTCAATCCTCCGATGGAAGAAGATGAGATGGTTGAATACTTTCTTCAAGCCCTGGAGCCTACTTACTTCGGATATTTGATCTCAGCCATTGGTAAGCCTTACAATTATGTGGTAAAGATGGGAGAAATGGTGGAAGAGGGACTGAAGTTAAGCAAGATCATGAGCTATCCTGCCTTAAAAGCCACAACATAGGCAATTCAGAACGACATAAGAAGCTTGTCGGGTCAGAAGAAACATGATGATGTTGCCATGGTTGTCTCAGGATCACGATATGGCCCAACGGGTCCGCCTCACCAATATACTCAGCCTCGACCCCAACCCCAAACCTATCCCCGAGTTCCATATAATCCACCTCAGCACTATCCTCCTAACAACGTCCGGTCATCTGTCCAACCATTGGGTCACTCCTTATGGCGAGCACCAACACCGCATAATACTCTTTCGCCTTCATAACATTTTTGAGCACCCAAAAACCCTAGAAAACCGGGGCATAGAAGGGAACAAAGGCAAAGAAATAGTTTCACGCCAATCGGAGAATCCTACACAAGCTTGTTTGAAAAGTTAAAACAGTCTGGCCTGATTGAGCCGCTCCTCGGCTATACTCCAGACCCATATGCAAAAGGTTTTGATCCTACTGTACGGTGAAGGTACCACTCTAACGTCCAATGGCATAGCATTGAAGATTCTCGTGTTTTGAAAAGGGAGATAGAAAGAATGATTCAAGAAGGGATAATTGTGGTCCAGGACAGTGACACCCAGAATATCGCACAGAATCCTTTGCCTACACATAATGATGCACACTTTGTGGGGGAGATGCGTGGTGGAAGGGAGTATGAGAATCCTCTTGGGAACTTGCTGACTCAAGTTGATGATATTGAAATTGGTAAAGGTCCGAGTAATTTTGATGTGCAATCCAGTGGATAAGATGTCAAGCTTGGTAATTGGAAAGACACTCCTTTCTTGGCTAGCCAGGGAGGAGTTTTGGTGGTTTATTTTGTTGTCATTTCTGTTTGTCCGGATTATTTCAGGGTTGTAATTCGGATATTGTCTTGTGTCTCAAACTCTTCTTCTTCTCATTTTGTCTAGTTCGTTTACTTGTAGTAACTCGTCTAGTGTTATTTAGGATTGTTCCAGGGTTGTAACCATTGTCTATTTTGCTTGTCCTGTTCAAACCCTTTTCATCATTTGTCTAATGCAATCTCCTATTTTCTATTAGTTCTAGTCAGTTTATGTTTAGGTCATTTTTCCTTTTATAGTTCTTTTTATGCCGACTCTAGTGACATGACATGCACACATAATTCTTAGCCTGATCTTGAAAGTTAGTCTAATTATGAAGCAATGGCACAGTTTTAAATATGATAAAAGGATGCGAATGAGGAAACAATTAAAGATTCACGCATTCTAAGATGACCTGAACTTTGAATTGAGTGAAACTAAGGCAGTAAGTCTAGGAAATGAAGAGGTTGATAAGAGCATACAACAAGGAAATGGCTCTCAAGCAGTTTGAGGTAAATCAGTCAGTGCTGAAATGCATTCTTCCACATCAAGATAAGGTTGAGTCAAGTCTGCTTCGAACTGGCAAGGGTCATTCATTGGGACAAAGGTATAGCCCATTGGCACTTTTTGTTTGTGTTGATACCATCAATAGATACTATGTGTGATTCTTTTGTTTATCTTCAATTGCATACTTGTACCTGACATCTTTAAAGTTTGGTATGACGAAGGCATTTTATTCTACTACCCAAACACTTTTATCTTTTGCTACCCCTTTTGAGCCTTAATTTATTTTGTTTCATACCCCTCTTTTGGAATCGGAAATAGAGTTAGGAACTAGAAAAGAAAAGGAAAAAGAAAAAGAAGAGAACAGAGGAAAAGAAGAAAAAGAAAAGAAAAAAAAGAGAAAAGAAAGAAGAAGAAAAAGCAAAAGAAAGAAAAGGAAAAGAAAAAAAAACAATTGTGTGTTTGAACTACGTTCGGCCTGATTCTTGACACCTCAAGATACGTAGGCAGCCTTACGGTTCGGTCGCACCAATTAAAATATTTTATAATCCCACAAAGTCAAGAGTGGAGCAGTCTTTCTTAGAAATTTTCATCAAAGCAAAAATCCCATAAAAAAATCCCCAGACTCCAGAAACTGGGGCACAAGTTTTAATTTTGCCAAAAGATCTGATTCCAAAAGTTGTAATTTTGAACCCTTTCATCTTAAATTATTTTGAGCCTTCATGCCATCCTTTCTTTCCAGCCCTGTCCAAAAGCCTATATTATGGTCCAAAGAAAGACCTTCCGACCAATCTTTGAGGATGCCAAATCAAGGGTGTGGTGAAGGTATGATCTTCCTACATCATGGGTAATACCTTGTTCTCATCGCAAAGAGAGAAAATGATAAATGAGAGAGTCTTATCGGAGAAAACCCTCATGGGCACCGTAAGGCGATAGTGAGTTGAGAAAAAGAGCAAATGAGAGAGGCTTGATGGTGAAAACCCTTTAGGGCACTACAAGTCAACTGAGGATTGTGGATCAGATGGGACAATTGAAGAGCTGAAGCACAATTTCACAGCGAAGAGATACAACAAGAGTTGAATATTAGACTTGTTTGAGAGATGAGGCCACTTAATCCAAAGGTGCATGTCATGGTCATTAGATTTGGTATCCACATCTGATAAGTTTTTACTTTGTAATTTTCTTGTTAGGTATCATCTCTTTCCATTGTCCCTTATTTTGTTCCTCTTGTTTTGGTTGAGTCCCTTCTTGAGTCTGTTTTATCAGAACAAGTAAAAAAATGAATTCAAAATCTGCTACCAGCTTTCCAATTGCACAAAGCAGAGTCTGGCTAGCACATCAAGGTGGCACAAGTCAGGAAAGAACAGTATGCACATTAAGTTGATAACAATTAACATGCATTGGGATTCATGTAAAATGCAAAGGTTCGGTAAATGTCAATTCATGAGCAAAATGCAACAGATAGAGGATATTGGACTTGAATAAATCAGAGGTATTTCTTGTGATAAGGGTGATAGAGAAAATGGGTAGTCGATAACAGGCAAGGTCTTCCAAGTTGAAATCAAAATTATCTTAGCAAGTGCAGAAGCAACCGCCTTCAAGGTCAAGGCCACAAACTAACCACCGTGTTTTAAACTCACAAGCTTTCTTTGTCTGAAACAGGGGTGAAGGCTATATTCATAACAAAGCTTGAAATTTTCAGGTGTAATTCCCCAATTCTTCTTACGCAAAGGCTATTGAGGAGATCACACATCACCCCTAGGAGAAGCACTTCCTAGTTTGGGCCTTTCAAGTTATATTTTGTTTTAGGAAATGCACTTCCTAAATTGAGATTTTACCCCTAGGAGATGCACTTCCTAGTATGGGTATTTCAAGTTATATTTTTATTTTTAGGAGATGCACTTCCTAATGTTGGTCATTTAAATTTATCCCTAGGAGATGCACGTCCTAGTTGGAGTCATTGAAGTTTTACCCCTTAGGAGACTCACTTCCTAGTAAGGGTCTTTCATATTATACTTGCTAGGAGACGCACTTCCTAGTTTTAGGTCATTTAAGTTCATTCCTAGGAGACACACTTCCTAGTTTTAGTCATTGAAGT